CCCTCCCGTGATGTCAACGTTTTTGTCAGCAAGGTTGTGCAAGCTTGGACCAAATATTAATAATAATGTACAATACATTGAATAGCGTTGATCAGCTCTACCTGCTTCGCTCCTTTGCTCTCTGTTTCACTTCCTCGGCTCTGCAGCAGCAGAGGAAAAGCAGATTTTTTAGAAAAGAACTAAAGTGAAACGAGTTCACAAAGATTAGGAGAATAATATACATTTATTTTCATCATTTATTATTATATATTGTTTAAAATGTAGAACTTATAGAATCCTTTAAGAACTACTTTTTGATCCATGTTTCATATTATTGCACTTTATTTAAAAGAGCCGTGTAACCCTTGAGTTAAGAGGGTTTTATCTATGTGCGGTAGCCTCAAAGGGGAATATGTAATATGTGCAGCTTGCAGCACTGTTAGAGTCGAGTCCCTCGATTAAGATAAAGGATTATTGGGGAGTTTTCCTCTAACAGAGCAGGAGCTCTTTTTGCAAACAGACCAACACACCAGATGTTGTTTGTTCCCTCAGGAGAGTAAGTTTTAACTTCAGTACATTTACCTCATAAACTCACAAATGCAGTTTGAATATTTGGGTGCGTGCACTCAGGCAATAGTGTGAATGGAAACCAGTTCAAGTTTTGAGCTGTGACTCTGTTTCCCAGCTGGAGAACCAGGACTCGGTGCTCGCCCTGCTGAGACAGACGGAGTCTGAGCTGAGCCTCATGATGCTGGATGCCATGCGCACCCAGGAGGACCCGCTTCAGAGACAGCGCCTCCTAGTGGAGGAGGAGAGGCTCAAATACCTAAACCAGGAGGAGCTGCTCATCCAACAGCTGCAGTGAGTTTGATCTTAAGTAACAAGCACAGCAAACAGTCAGGTGGTCTCGGTGAGGTGAACGATTCATGATGTTTCCAGTTGTTTACGCAAAGTGTAGACAGTGTTTCCTGCTATGTTTAGCTGAAGTTTCATTTTTTCCTGGTTTAAGCTTCACATCTAAACGATGGTGCTGGCAACAAGCACAATTATGAGACTATTTTGTAAATGTTTTGGAAGCCAGTAGTAGTCCATTACATGAATAAAGTCGTACACTCAGTTTTAACATTTGCACGGCATCCACAGTGAATTCAGGTGTGAACAGTTACACTTTCAAAATAAAAGACATTTACAAATTTCTCTAATTTTTTAGTGAGAGGAGAAAAAGATGCTCACCCAGCAGTGCTATAAATCTGAAATGTTAATCTTATTGATTAGTTTATCGAATAAAAGAAGGACATTTATATTCATCAAAGTGAAATATTGGGGAAAAAAATCATCCATGATGGTAAAATCTGGGCCGAGTCAGCAGCACTGAGTGATACGAGCCTCTGTCCTTCACAGCGACCTGGAGAAGTCTGTGGAGGAGCTCCAGAGGAACTCGTCCGTGAATCACGGGCTCGTGACGGAGCAGGACGTGGAGCAGAAGAGCAAAGAGCTGAGGATGCTGGGAGAGACGCTCACTGAGCTAAAAAGTAAATGCTGTCATGACCAAGTCTGTGATGTTTTGTTTGTTTTGAATGTTCGACCCTTTAAAATCCTCTCATTTAACGAGACTAGAGGACATAAACTACATCTGCCATCACTGATCGGGAAGCCCTTCCCTAACCCCCGGAGTGTTTAACTCCTCGACCTTTCACCTTTTGTGTTACGTCTCTGTGTTTCAGTCTTTGATGCAGTCGTGTCCTGCGTTGGATGAGGCTCTCATTTCTTTAGTGCGCCGTTTATATTGTTTTATCAACATGAAATGAGACCCCCAGAAGTTTCCAGCTGTCTTTCTGTCCATCTTTCTAGCAGCACTATTCATGTGCAGTGCACCTTTAAGGTATTTTAATCACACGGTGCACACCACAGTCCAGAATCACTCTTGGGCTGGCTAAGATTTTAGTGTGGACATTAGCTTAGCATCAAGACTCATTCATAGAAAGTCATCCAAACCATGGATGAGCAAATTAATAACTGTTGTCAGACATTCTCTCGGCTGAAGTTTGATGTTTATTTCGTCTTCCTGCCGTTCGTTGCTGCCCACCAGGAAGATTAACCTGTTATTGATAACAGTTTAATGATAATCTGATAATCTGTTTATATTAGCCCGACCATATCTCTGTAGCTTTATGCCACATAGAAAATTATTATATGTCAAACATGCTATGTTCCAACTTGCACTGAGGGACTGTTGGCACCATTGTCTCGCAGCACAAAAGCTGTTTGTTTGAATCTGCTCTCCCGAGCTCTTGTGTGGAGTTTGCATGTTTTCTGCGACTTCCTCGCACAGTCCAAAGAGATGTGTGTTAATCTGTGATAAACTAATCGTGTGATTAGGATCCATAGTGGGTCCACGACCCTCTTAGGGACACTCTCAAAACCTGGGATTCTCCACCAGTTGCTCTTAAAGTGAAGAAGCTTCTAAAGAAGTCCAGGTGCTTTTCTTTCTTTCTTTCTTTCTTTTATTTCCTTGTCACCAATCCTCCACACAGCGCTCGTGTTTATTTTTACATCGTTGATTACGTCCATCGTTGTGCTTTACCTTTGAGTTTCTTTTTAGAATTAATTCAGAGCATGCGGCATCGTTTTCAGATGTTAACTAGCGACCTGCTGAGACTTCCTGCTGACTTCTAACTGCTAAATGTCATAAATCCTCTTTTTCATGAATTTCTGGATGTTAAACTGTATTACAACAACTGGGGGAGCGTTCATGCTGATCTTTGTATTGGAACTGATTTGGATGCTTTAGTGGAACGTCTGTACCGATGACTGGTTAATGAAATTAACCACTTAGTTAAGATAATCGTTTTTTAATTTTACTGCTATATGCAAATGATGCCCCACCGCTCCGCTGGTGAGCAGCTCCGTGTCTGTCGGTGCTTTTAACTTTAAACTGCAACAAATTCAAAGGACAAAGGTTTCAAACACCTGCCAGGCTTCGCTGCACTTTCCAGCGCTGTTGCTTCACCTCTGCTGCAGCCCAGCGAGACATTAACACATATCTTTGTTTACAGGATGAGACTGGATTAGCTGAAGTAATCTCCCTCTGAAAGTGGTCCCTTACAAATTCATTTTTACACTTATTTGTTTTGCAAAAGGAAAAGTGCTGAGACGTGAATGTAAATGAAGCTGAAACACTTTGTTTTTAAAGCTTCGTATCATCATAATTGCATCACTGTAATTGCAAATATTTTGTGGCCAGAAACCAGATTTTTAAAATTTATTTTAGTGCCATGAAATACAGCAGATAAATTCCCTTTAATATTTATGTGCTTCTACTAATGTAGTTTTCTAGAAAAGCCAGCGTGTGATGGTGTAAACACTCACTAACACGACTTTACTCAAATAATCAAATGTTTCTTACAAACACTGATAATCATGAAATCTCCCCACGTACAGAACTGTAGTTACAGGTCACAGTTCAGGTGCTAACACTGCCAAAATACTGTGTTTGTCCATTTTCATGTTATGCAGACACACAGATTAATATTTATGAGTCTTATTGTCCTTTAATTAATATTCATGAAGTTCCAGTTGGCCTCTGTTCCTGCTGCTTTGACCTGTGTACTCATGTCTCTATCCTGAATATTAACAAGCAATTC